TAATTAAGTGGAATATATCTTTCAATTTATTCATATTAGCATATCTCATCATAATATTTTGTTGTTTTAAATTTTAAAAACAAAACCTTCGTTTCTAATAGTTTTTCAATAAAAAAGTCATTTAAAGGGTATATTGTCGATATAAATTATTCCTTCCTTCCTTTCTAAATTTAAAATTTTTTTACATATTCCTTAGAAAATTTTCTATTATACTAATAACGATAGATTAAATGAAATAAGCAAATACTCTGTACAAATTTTAATTAAAATACGGATAACTAAGTGAAATATATCATTTGCACGTACTTCAACAAAAGTGCAATATGAAATGAATTTTGTCAGACCAAAGATGAAATATATGAAATAATCGATGTTTTATGAAAATTCAATAGTAAGCATTAGTCCTCCGATTCTTGAGCTTTGCTAATTTATTACGTATATTTAAAAAATTTGAAAATTATTCTTAGCAAATAATTTCAAAAAATAGAAAATAAAAAAAGTTAACTGAATTATATTTGCATCTCATTTATTAAATTTCGAAGGATAACGATAATCTAATTAATTTATAAATAAGCAGTGAGCCATTAATTAAAATTTTTTAATGCCTTTAAAAGTTGATAGATTTTTTTACTGTAAATAGTTAATTTTAACGATTGTTTTTCTTTCTTTTTTCTTTTAATTACTCCGAAATTTAGAAATAATTATTTGTATTGCAAAATTGGACTGATTTTTTATGAGTTTTTTCATGCTTAAATTTCTCAAAAGTTTAAATTTTATTTCTGCACTATGCAAATAATAAAAATGCAAATCAAACGAAAGTAAATACATTAAATACCGTAAAATAAATAATCTAAATGAGAATTTATTAACGGGGGAAAGAACGTTTGATATACTATCAACTTTTTCGTCTCTTTATCATTCGTGAGAAATTCGCTCGTAATAGTTTCTGCTTAATTTCCAATATTTACTTTAATTCCATTGAATTTCATGAAATTAATATTCATTTTTTGCTTAATAAGTGAGCAAAATTTTAACCCCTATTATAGTGCAAAATTTAAATTATAATTTATTAATTATCAGTCATTCTGTGTAATTTAAATTTTGCACTATAGTCAATTAGGTCAACTATGATAAATATTTAAAAAAAAATGAGGTCAAATCGATACAATTTATGCCATGAATGTCAAAAAAATGTCCATAAATAAATTTTCCCCTCTTGTTTATTTCATTGACAAAACGAACAAACGAAAGATTAACTTATCATATCATTACTGAAAGATTGAAAGAATAATTTATATTGTCATATCATATTGTCAGCATTATTACTCATTTAATGAGTTTGAAATAAATGCATCATTTAACGATATTTAAAATTTTCCTTCCTCATTTTACAATTATTCAAGTATAAATTATTTTGACCAACCATCGTGCCGATATTAAATACGTAATTGGGACGTCCTTGAAAATTTTCTGTGTAATGCAGGAACTATTTAACGCTCAACTTCCATTTTCCATTCCTTTCTTACAGAACAAAATTGGAATAAAAATTAAAAATTTGCTTGTTGCTACAAAAATTTTGAAATGAAATAAAAAAAGATTAATGATAGAATTATTAATAATTTTTTTTTACTTAATCATTTTACTACATCTTAAAATTTGATCAATAATGTTTTTAGATAAAATTAAATGTTAAATGATTTTTAATAAGTTAGCATTTAACGATAACAAAATGAAGTCTTAAAGTTTTTTTCTTTTTTAATAAAGAAACTAAATTGCTTCAAATTTTTTCATATCTTATCAAAATATTTGTTGTAACGAATGAATAGGAATGAAAATTGTGATTGGAAAAATGTATTGTAATTACTTTTGCTTTTTATTTTTCAATTACCTGATATTTGATAAATTGATAATGATTATTTTAAGAAAATTCCCAAAAAAGGTCATATTGTTGTAGTGACGGAAAATTTTCTGACAAAATATCTGTAATTATGTATTATTTTGAAATATTCCAGGCAATTGATAAATAATGGAATATTTATTGTCACCTGAAGAAATATCACCAACTGAAGCAATCATTCGACAGCGTATTAATTTTTGCATTCGACTCGCAATTGCTTTATTTTTTAATTATCAGACGTTCGATTTCTTATTCAGCCCAGTTTGGATCCATGGATATATTTGGTATATTTCATTAATAAACTTTCAAAACTTCCCTTTCATTCAGTCCAATTATTTAATTTAAGCATTTTATATAATTTTTGCATTTTGTATTAAAAAATACAATTTTTATAAGGCAGTCAAATCAGAAATAATTTTTTTTTTTCAAAAAGCCAGGTATTATTAACTTATGTAGGTTATTCTGTACAACTTTGCAAACACTTTCATATTTTACATTTTTTGTTTAAGTAATATAAATAAAATGCTATAATATTTTAATAAAAACCAAAGTTTCTGAAGTAATAAATAAATTGCATTTTATTAAAATTGTATTTTTATGAATTTTAGAATTCAAATAGCTCATCTGAAAGTTTTGCAGTTATTTTTGATTAAAACAGCCAACTTGAAATGCTTTTTTTAGTTTTGTTCAATTTTGAAGTTTTTCATTTCTAGTAGATCAATCAAATTTACAGGTTATTGTTATGGATTCATAATGAGAGAAAAAAAATTTCAGGTCATTAAATCAAAAGATTGATCTAGAACTTAGCACTAAGTCAGCTGGTGACATATTTCAACACCAACTGTCAGTTTGCGGTTATTCAGAGCGTATCATTTATTCCACTCTTCTTGTCTTCATTATATGGATCTTTTTGCTGTAAGCTTGTCAAAAAACTAAAAAAAAATTGTTAAAAATAATTTATGGAAAGAGGAAGGAGAAAAAATTAAATTTACTGAGTTTAGAAAAAAAAGTTTTTTAAAGTATTTTTTTTAGTATTTCTGGTTTTCATAATAACAATCGGACAGTTTGGCAGCTTTTGCAACTTTCTGTAATGATTGGAGTGCTTACTGCAAATCTGCGCTGCTTACAAATGAAACAACGTCTTTATTCGGCTATACATGAAGGATTTTACGCATATTTTCTAACCTTTATTACAGGTTATAAAATTTTGAATTAAAATAAAATTGTATAAATTGAAATTAAAACCTTTTAAGTATAATCAAGCAAAAACTAATATCAAACTATTTGTAATGAATAATCAAAATAGTGAGTTTTTTTTTTTCAGGATTAATACTAACATTACAAGTAAACGAGAGAATCAATGTTTCAAGTATGGAAGTAAAATTGGATAAAACACCTTCGATTACAAAGTTTAATTTAGTGTCTAAGACGAAAAAATTGCTATAATGAATGATTTTAATTTATTTTAAATTAATTGCACAAAATATTGCAAATAACATTTTGTGTTCGTGAAAAAAAAAGTTCATGAAAAATTCTGTCACACACCGCACATTCGTAATTGTTATTAACGTTTAACGATGATGCAAAATTATTTCTTTATATTTGCATTTCAATAAAAATTTGAAAAATTTATAGCATTCAAAAATTCAATCTGCATGTTCGTTTTTTTTTTGGGGCGGAGAGGGGGAGGGGGGAGAGGGAGAGGGGAGGAATGAAGTAAAGAACGCATACAGCAATTATTTCCACTTTTATTTGAAAATTTTAATCTATAAATTTTGAGTAAATAGATTTCAAATTTACATGAATATTGCAATGTTTTAAAAGCATTGAGATGAGAAGTACCTAATCACAGTATCACAGTACTCATTCAAAATGTACGAATGAGAATGATTACCTTAAAATATTGATTTCATCCATCCAAACTTCCACCAAAGGGATATCGCTTTATAAAAAAAAAAAAAAGAAAATTGCAATAAAATCAAAAATTTACAAAAAAAAAAATTTTAAATGTGTGTTGAAAAGAAGAAGAAACAATTTATTATTGATATTAACAACATTTATACATAATGAATACATTGTTATAGCTGTTAAAACTATTCGTAGTTAAACAGGAAATTTTAATTTTCAAATCATATAATTTATGATTTGAATATTAATCTTTTAACATTGTGCATGCAGATATTTGAATTATAAAATTAATTAAAAATTAATTTCTTTTAATTTTGCTACATATAGACATGTTGAGTTATTGCAAAAATATTTTATCTTTAAAATAATTTTTTAACAAGATTTGAAAAATTTTTATTGGACACTTTATAATTTACATGTAATTTATTTCGAAATTGCACATTACTGTTCGAGCTCTTACGACGACAATAATTGTAAAATGATATTTTATATTTTTAATTGACCTGCTTATAATCTTTCAATTAAAATTAATTTGCTGCCGTCTAATTTGATTGAATGACACGAATAAATGACATGAATGAACAAATAAATAATTAAATATTTCACATTCAAAAGAATGCAGAAGTTAAAATCACTAAAATAGTCGTAATCCGATAATATCTTGCGATCGGTGCCTTTTAAGCAATGCATATGGAAGTGTAAAAATTCAATCATTATTGAACTTACAAGATATAATTATTTTTTCTTCTTCTACGTCAAATTTGATTGAGTTTTTTTATGCTGTTCTCAAATAATTTAAAACTACTAAAATTAATTGTTGGCGAACAAACAAACAAGCAAAAAAAAAAACAAAAAACAAACACACAAACAAAAACCGGATTGTTAAAATCAAAATTAAAATATCTTAATGATAATCGTTAACTTGATTATCATTTTTCTTTTTCTTTTTTTTTCAAATTATTTGGAAAAGTTCTCGATGTTGAAAGATGGATTGTTTTTCCATCTCGTATGGTGTTAGTAAACGATCTATTATTATTTTATCTCGTTCTGCCCATTTTTTTCTGTTTGTTGATCATTATTGATCTACAAGAATGTACGATTAATGATATTACAGTAGCTAACAGTAAATGAAAACTATAGTAAAGAATACTACCACCAAATCTTCTACTATTAACCATAACATTTTACATTTCCACTAAAGCATCCTTTCATTGCCATCATTTGAGCCATAATTATCTCCTTCGATACGTTCCGCTATCCGAGGTTGAGAAGCTGATGGACTGACGAGAATGACTGAGTCAACATTTTGACAAACACATATTCCTGGTTCTCCTAAAATTAAATTTGTAAGAGTATCATGAAAAAAAAAAAAAGGATTTAGAATGTGAATTAACATACTGTGTTAAATGAATAAAAAAGTAGTGAAGCTAAATTTAACGAATAAGAAATTAGTGAAGCAAAAAAAAAAAAACAAAATTTTTTTTAATAATTATTATTTAAGTAAACATTCAAATTTTTACTCTACCTGCATTCAATCTGCTCAAAAAATTAAATTTTTTTTCCAGTTTAGATAAGTTTTACCTGGAGGTCCTTGTTCACCTGGTGGACCTTCTGGACCAGGATATCCAGGCTCACCCACTTCACCTGGTAAACCTGGCCAACCACGTTCACCTTGTGGTCCTAAAATTAACATTTTTTTTGATTTTAGGCATAATTTAGACAATAGCAGAGTTTTTTTAGAGAAAAAAAATAAACTGGCCTGTCATTCCATTTCGACCAGGTAGTCCCGGAAGGCCAGGAGCACCGACAGGTCCGACTGGTCCGGGATCTCCTGGTGGACCTTCTCTAAGTTCACCTTCTGGTGTTGGTCCCTTATCGCCTGGCAAGCCTGGGCCGCCTTGAAAACCTGGCGGACCCTGTGGTCCCGGTTCACCTGGTGCACCATCTTCACCATCTTTACCTGAAAAAAATTAAAAATGAAATTAGAACATAATTCAGTAAAAACATTTCAATAAATCAAAATTACAACTTACCCTTTGCTCCAGGTTCGCCAACTGGACCCGGATCTCCCGGAAATCCAGGCCAACCTTTGATACCTGGAGGACCCTTTGGACATGGACGACACGGCGGAGGCGGTCGATTTATCTGTATTGGGCATGTTTGATTTGGAGTTGTTCCAGGAATGCCAGGTCTTCCTGCTGGTCCTGGAGCTCCAGGTTTCCCAGGTGCACCTCCTGCACCACGTGGTCCTGGTGGGCCAGGAATACAGCAACCTGGACATTCTGTTTCAATCGGTGTACCAGTTACTTCATTCACCATAGAATTTCCGCTAAACGGATTCAATCCCTGAAAAAAAAAAAGAGGAAAATGCATCTAACATGAAATTTCCTGTAAAAAAAGAAATACGAATTTGAATTAAAATACGAATTCAACATTTAAAGGCAGAGAAATATTACTGGCACAAGAATATATTCATTTAAAAATTTTTAAATCCGGATGAGATGATGAGATCACCTGATAACCATCATTCTGATCATATATTTGACGTTTCGTCCTATTTAAAGAACTATATGATTTGCCTCGTTCTACTTCCAACAATGCTTCTTCATTTGAATGCTATAATTCAAGAATAAACTTCAAAAATCAAATGCAAAAAAAAGCTTTACGATTTAATTTTTTTTAAATTTCTTAATCTAATTTTGCAATATATTCTTTAAATTTTGTTGAGCTTAAAAAATAAAAAAAAATTTTTTTCTTGAATAATTTACCTCACAGAATAGCATTCCATTATCAATGTAATCAATTGTTGTTTGAACATTATTATACATAACAGGTAATGCAATACATAATATCAGTAATGATAAGAAACTACAGGCAATTTGTAGACCGGTAATAAAATGATACATGCGCTGTCGCATTGTTTGAGCTGATTGATAGAATTGTCCCATGCTATAGTAATAAATCTTACTTATCATTTATGATAAATACTTCAAAATTTTTAACTAACATTTAATTATTTTGCTAAGTTTTAAATTTATTACCATAATTGAAAAATTAAGAAATATTTTCAATTAAAAATTAATCCATTGTTATTTTTCAATATGCTAAATAAAATTGATCTGATAAATAATAAGAAACCTTTCTGTGCTCTCATATGGCTTCATAATGCTTGAATAAATTCAACCAATTTGATCAATGGTTTAGTTTTTTTTTCCGTCTCACTTTTTATTACTGATTTTTTGAAGGCGTACAATGAATGATGGCCTGAAAAGATTAAACTAAATTTAAAAAAAAAAAACGAACAATTAAATTAATCGTACTAAATGAAAAAGACAAAAATACTAAAAACAAATATAATAAATCAAAGATTTTTCAAAAAAAAAAAAGATTCAACTTCTTTACTCCATGCTATTTTATATAAAAGAAATTTTAGTTCTGAAATATATAAAATCAACGAAGCTTATTACTTTAAATTTTATCATACTTCAAAAAATAATTATGGACGGAGCCAGAGAAATGACAGTAAAATAGACAATTTATGAAAGCCAAGTACAGTGCTAAATTATTTGTAAATTATGAAAAATTAAATCAAAAAAAGAAAGTTAGAATTGATTGTATTAAGACTTGAGAAGCGCTAACTCATCGTGCACCAAATTTTTTTTTTCTAAATTTTCCAATTAATTCTCAAATCTGCTTGAAAAGCACTAACACTTCACGCACCGAATTTTCCAAAATTTCCAATTAAACTTATTTTACACTTGTTTTTCTCGTTATCCTCTAATACTAAATTTGTTATCATTGTATTACGTAGTTCCTTTTCCGGCTTATTTTTTCGAATTAATTTTTTTTAAGGAAAATGATAGTAAAAATAATTTGAGGTAAAAATTTTCTTAAAAGAAGCCGATATTTAAGTTTTTAGTTGAAATTTAAGTTGAATTATTAGTTATTGTTATTTTTTCTTTTTGATGCAGTATTCTTTTGACTTGCTTTACAATACGTTTCTTGGATTCGATTGCCTCCGAGGTTTTTTTTTTTCACGCCGTTGCAAGCCTACTTTCTCACTGTTTTCAGAATTGAACTTTGCCTATCGTACTGTAAAATTTACGATTACATGACATCCTACACTTAGCATCCTCGGATAAAAATTGTTGTTATGATTTAAATTCTACTTAAAACTGTATAATTCACTATATAATAATATGCATGTGTGATAATTTTGATAATAAAATAATGATAAGGAAGCAGTTCGATTACATTATTCAAATTTTAACTCATTCATTACAAAACAACATATATGTTAGTACTTTTTAATTCTCGGAAATAAATTCGTTAATTTCAATTACACATAATCATTGAAATTCCGTTAATCTCAAACAACAAAAACATTTATAAAAATGCAGTAAAAGTTCACAATGATTAATAATGTTAGAGAATTTCAAAAATTCACTGAAAAATACACGAGTTAAAATAAAATGTCAAAAATTACCTTTTCCAAAATACAGGTCTGATCGTTTTGTAAGATAAAAACAATTATCGTAAGCGTGAAATTGCGCTAGCAGATGATACGATGGATTTTGTTATTTTTGTGATGATGATATCTTCAGCAGTATCAGTTTCTGGTTTATCGATATGCTCTGATGTTGTTACTGATTACCACTGATGCCGTCGTTGATGACATCGGTTGCCTTATACAATCAGCAGGTAGTGACATTCGGTGTTAACAGTACGACGACCTAAATTATCATTTGATGTGCTAGGTCAATTCAAATCAATTTCCTTTTGTTCTTGTTAATTCCATCTTATCACTTTTCTACGTGCACAATTTATTATTGTTAAAGTAAGTATAAATTCAGATAAATGAAATAATTAATTTTCAAGGGAAAATCGCTGAACAAAAATAAATTATTAGAATTGAAAAGGTATGCGAAAGTTTAAATAGAAGATTAACGACAGTTCAATCGATTTATAATAAAGAAATTAACAAGTAATTTAGAATGGTCAAAAAATTTAACAAAACCTTTTATGCATACTACAACAAAAACCGTTCCATTGAAAACAACGTATACTGTATGGTTGTATATTTCATATATTATCCGCTCAACAAAGTCATCTATCCTTTTCTTATTCCATACTAAAAAATTACAATATTTGACCTGTTAAAATTTATTATTCCTTTCTCATCAATTACAGGTCAATTGATTTGTGAAAATTCTTTTTTTAATAAAACTTCCTAAGACATAAATGACTATGAGATTTATTTATTATACGAGTTCAAATGAGGTTAATTTCTGAGGTGCATCATAAAAAGAAAATATATCGGTTATTCTCAAGGAAAACTTGAATGGCTTGCAAATGGTGATATTTGTCATATTTGACCTTTCAAATTTAAGAAGAAATCGAAAAACGAATTATAACAGAATTTTTTTTTTTTATAAAAAATTCAATCTTCTTTCTGGACTGATAATGCAAGGCGCTAATGAAAAATCTTTTATATAAAATTTAAAAATTTGCAGAAATATTGATATGAAAAAATTTTCAAGACTTCACCACAATTGAAAACTCTCACAACAATTGAGAACTTGGGAATCGAAAATACAGTCGGAAAATTCAATACGGAATGTGGTGATTTGAGATATAAGATAATAATGTTTTCCTGAAATTTAAATTGTAATATTATTCCTAAAGCAGTATTAATACATAATTTTTCATAAATTAAACATTTTAACAAGTTGATAATTCAAAAAATTCCGGCGGAATTTCATAATTCAAAAGTTGAAAGAATTAAACAATTACTGCAATTTTTAAATCTTTGATATACATCTATCTAATTATTTTAAATGAAATATTTTTTCAACATTTAAGATTATTATTTCTTGGCAATAAATGAAACAAACTAATTTTGCACACTAAAATTTGCTCTTTGATTTTTATGAAATAAAATACCGTGTTGGACAATTTATAGATTTTGAATAGATAAATTCTGGAGCAAATATTTCAGTTTGATGAAATTAGAAAATCATACATGATCTACAAAATTATGATTTGTTGCTAATATATATGCTAGAAGATTCCTTCACATTCCTCAACTATTCAAATGTGAACAATTGAACGGAAAGAAAAGCATAGTTTGAAATTTTAATTTTTTTTTCTCCACCTTTTTCTCCACCAAAATATTATTTCTTTTTACCTTGTCATCAGCTTTTTACCTTGTCATCAAATTTGCACCATCCTGTAGTAACTATTGTATTATCGCTGTATACATTTAAATTTTGACACATTGAATTTTATTAATTTTACACAATGAAAGAATCTGTTTTTGGAATCGAAGCAGATGTTTCACAAAGATTTGATATTGAATTAAAATCAAATAATATGATCCATTTTGCAATTTTAATTTAAATCCGATTAAATTGTCCTATTTCTATCTTTTCTTCTTTCTATTGCTTTAATTTATCCTATACTGCAAAAATTTGATAGAGAAAAATTTTTTCGAAAAATTTCGTAAAAGATTGTAATTGAGCGGATGTTAAAAACAAATAAAATAAATAGAAATGAACGGAAGTGTTTAAATATTTTCGGACATGCAATAACCTTTTTTTTTGCAAAAATTATTAATGGGTCAAATTTTTAAATAAAACCTAATTGAAGAATATTTTTGCTAAAGACAATCTTTCTAATTTTCATAAAGAGAATATTAATAAACTGATTGTTATTTTTTTTTACATTTAATGATTTATTAATAAATTAATCTATCAAATTTTACGTGCAAAATTTCGTGTTTTATTTTCATGAAATTATTAATAATGATTTTTGCTAGAAATTTCCCCGAAAAAAAAAAACCTTTTTCATTAACACTTCATCATTCCTTTGTTAGCTAGTTCAAATTTCATGTTTGACGTAGAGAGTTAAAGAATTCAAAATATCAGTTCTCTATTAATTAACAGTATTATATATCATTTGATCGTCCTTCAATGTCTGTATCACTTGGATTTATTGATTAAGCAATTCAATCATATTGACTCCAACTATTTGGTAACTCTATTCAAGAGTTTACATTTTTAAAATGCATTAAATTTATTACAGGAAAACTCTGAACAGACATGAAAATTTCAACATGATAAATCACAGTTGTACAATGCAATACTTCATGATAAGTGATAAGAGGTATGACAAAACACTTCGTCTCTGTTCCGAATTATAGCATTCCTAAATTATTTGCTACTATTGAGAAAATAATCCAAAAATGTCAAAAAGTACAATTTGAGGGCTTTTAAACCTTGAAAATATCGGTGATATCATTGGAAGATGAATTATAGTTCCAATAAATATCAAAAAATATAGGGTTACCTTGAAATGCATCAAAATGTTGATAAATTAGGAAGAGCAATGAAGAGGCAAAGGTCACTCAAATAAAATATAGGTTATGGAAAATTGATGAAGTAAATGAATTGTTGACATCTTCTTCGAAAAATGTAGAAATGAGCAAATATAATTAATATAATTTGAAATAGAAGACAGATAAACAGTTACAGTTGAGCTGTTTATGGTTATATTTTAAATTAATTTTTTAAATTCAAAAAAAAAGTATCAGAGGAAACGAGATAAACAAATGACAAAAATGTTAAATTAATTTCACCAGGTAATTTTAAAAAAAAAAAAAAAAAACTTCCCAATTTTTAAAGCATTTGAATTGGCTTAGAAAGTGATTAAGGAAAAGCTGTAATTTTGCAAGTTTTTTTAGTGCCTACCTAATTCAGATAAAAATTAAGATTGTTTGGTTTAATTAACTGTAAGAGCTACCCGTGCATACTACGATACTAACGCATGCATGGCAGTAAATCCTTCAACAAATGATCATATTATCAGTGCTGATAATGAATTTCTTGAGGATTCGCGCTACTGTCCAGTATAAGTGAACCTCGTTGTCGCGGTGTTGTATTAGACAGGACACTTGGTGCCACCTCATATTGTTTTGTCTTTTGTAATACTCCTTTCCTTTCCTCTTCTTTTTCAATCTCGGCAAGCGCGGAAAATATATTCAATTTTTCCAAGTTATGATAATCCGAACTCTCTCTTGACTGTTCCGGATAGTTAGTCTCTTGCGGAATATTTGCACTGTTTACTTCGTGTTTAGTTTCTTCTTCATACCTTTCATTAGTTATTTTCTGTTTATCCTCTGTTTTTTCCGTATCCGGTTCTCGACGAGACATATCGGCTATGACTACTTCTGTATCCTGGCATACACATGTTCCAGGAGTACCTAAATTTTAAAATTATGTGATATTTTTTATAAATATTATTAATTTCGATATTACTAAAACTCTCGTTATAATATTTTTGAAAATTTTCTCCTTCTGATATATCATTTTAATTTTAATATTTTGAAACGAGCAAAATTCAATGGCGTTTCTGTACGAAATAGACCTGATGGTCCTTGCTCTCCTCTAGGTCCTGGTGCACCAGGCGGTCCGATAGCACCAGGAGGTCCTGGTGGTCCTGGCCAACCCTTTTCTCCTGGTGGTCCAGTATAGCCATCTTCACCGTTTGATCCTGCAAAATCAAATGCGTATTTCGTAACTTGCACTTTTGAAATAATGAAAAAATAATATTAATTTGATGAATTCTTTTCAATGCTAAATTCGCAAGTAAAATAGAACGAACCTGGATGCCCAGGTGGTCCCCATGGTCCCGGATCACCTGGATCACCTGGAGGACCAGGAATAACATGCGCATGCGGAGTAGTACCTTTCTCACCGGGTGGTCCAGCAGGACCTTCTGGACCAGCTGGACCTGGTGGTCCATCTTCACCAGGCTTACCACGCAATCCATCAGCACCTCAAAAAAAGAAATTTGGAAGAGCAATTCTACTTAAGTTGTATGAATGTATAACTTTTATGTTAAATGTATAATTCCTATTTCGAAATAGTGGAAATGAACTAGAAATTCAATAGTAGAAACGAACTAAAAACTAAAGTTAACAAAAGTACCGGGTTTTCCAGGTATACCAGGATCCCCTGGATCACCTGGAAATCCAGGATGCCCAGGCACACCACGTGGACCTTGCGGACATGGAAGACATGGCGGTGGTTCGAATATTCTTTCTGGAATACATGAAGCATTCGGTGTAGCGCCAGGCCTACCAGGTGCACCATCTGGACCAGGACTTCCAGGAAGTCCTGGAAGACCGGCGTCACCTGGTTCTCCTCGTTCACCAGGTATACAGCACGCTAAAAAATGGAAAATTTTCTTTTTTAAAAAGCATCTTAACAATTATCTTATTAACTGTCATAACGAAAATTTTTTGTCAACAAATAGTTCAAAAATTAAAAGAATGTAAATTCAGAACCATTTTATTTAACAATTTCGGTGTAACTATTTTGAATCATATGTATCTAAAGTTGAGATAAAAAAAGAATTTTCTTAAAGTTTTTAAAGTAATGATGAAATGATTGATAAAAATGAAATGTTCAAATGATAAATGGAAATGACAGGTGACACTGACCAGGACATTCCTGAAAGGCGATATGTTCTGCGAAAAGCGTTGTCGGATTGAAGCCACTGTAATGCGATACATCTCTCCTTGTTCGATTTGGATTCACTCTTTGCATTATTGATAACTCTTCCTCCAAATCATGTGTTGAAGTCTGTAAAAATTTATCATTTCATCAAATTTTGATTAAATTTTCATAAGTCAAACAATTGATTCAAATTACAAATTTTATTTTTGAGTTGCAAATAAAATTTATAATTTGAATAATCAATTACTTGACTTATTTGAATTTGAATAATCAATGTAAATTAAATAATCTTATTATTGAGATAAAAGATATTTTGTAATTTGCGGAAAAAATATTCAATGGATAGAAGTGATTAAATAGAATTAATTGTATGTTAAAGCTGTTACATAATTTTTTTCTTTTTTCCTTTCAAATTATTTAATTTGATATCTTTCATGTTGTGAATGAAATTAAGAATTTTGGCACATTTTATTAAAGTACTTTCTCATTTGACATATTTAGAGAGCTGCACAGTTTTTCCGGAACGTTGAAATCGGAAATCTCAAGACAAATCAAGATGATTTCAGTTGGATTATTTTGGAAGAAAATAAGCTTACAATTTTTATGCAAACTTGGCAAGAATGCGACAAAAAATCAAATTAATGTGAATAGTAAATCACATTTTCTACTCCTTCTACTTTACTCTAGAATATATTTTCAGTTTAGCAATTGAAAGCCAATTTACGGCTAATGAGATTGTTTGTAAATTTTTCGTCGCTCTTCAACATATATCATCGTTTTGATTTTACCGTTTGTGCTGGACTTTTTTTTTTGCAATTTTTTAAAGATCAAATTCTTAAAATTAACCGCTTTTTGACTCCTTTTATACTTACCTATTCTGTCAGCTAATAGATTCTCGTTAAGTTCTAAAAAACAGAAAGAAAAGTCTTTGATCGATTTGAGAAATAGAATTCAGTTGAGATTGTTATGGATTTCCTTTCATCCCATAATTATAAACATGCAATTTAAATTTGTTAAAAAAAAAATGCTTTATATTTGTTTGGAAGTTAAAACAGACAAAAAAATGATTAATTTCAAAAAGGGCATTAACAAAAATTTCAATATTTTGATAATTTCACAGCTTTACTTTTCACACATGTTGCATGTAGCAGTTGAAGTAGTTTTGTTTACAAATATTAAAGAAAAAAAAAATGATGCATACATCGCAAAAGGCGAAATCCTGCCTTGTAAATGTTCCCATATTGTCCACAAAATTATAGGCAGATGGTGCGAGAAGACAAAGTGTCAGTAGACTGGAAATACTTAGGGTACTCGCAACAGATATAATAAATTTGAAGGCACGTTCTCGACGAACTTCTAACTGACCACTGTCCATTATATTGCATTGGGTGATACTTGAACTGTTAGATAGACGTTCCACATAGATGGCGCCACTTCTTGATTTCATCTCCCTCTGTAGGGAGTTTGCTGTTGGATAATTTTGATCCTAAAATTTCCATTTTAAATTACTTTTTTTTTTGTTCATAAAATTTCAACGACTAATTTCACATCTACTTGTTGCTAGCTATTAATAACCAATTCCATTATATTTAATTACTGTTCAATTCAAGAAATTTAGGAATTATTTTAAAAAATTATTTCACATAAGTGATTAATAAACAATCAAGAGCTTACACGATGCACATAAATAATAATTGATTGGAAAATTTTAATAACATATTTAATTGCTTACTATGTTATTTGTACAACAAATGCATATATATTTTCTTTATATAATGTCATATAAAACAATTTAGCATGTTAATAACTTACAAAAAAAAAAAATTGATAACATAAAATTTTTAAAGTGAAACAAAATTGTCTACAACTAACTTGTTTTTTTTTAAATGCAATTTTCTGATTTTATAAATATCAATTGTAAGGAAATTTTTTATTTTTCACATCAATGCTAATTGTTTGTTTAGTAACAACAGTTACAAAAAAAAAGAAAAATGAAAGATCAGAAAAAATAAAAAACTAAGATTGTAAAATTTGTAATAATATTTGAAATAGCAAATGCTAAAAATGTATTTTTATTTTAGCCAATTAAGCTTTCGGTGTGTTAAGATTTATGATCAATATATTAGCTTTCAACAAGTGATAATCAGTGTTTTGCTAAGCAGGTGTATTAAATGAATAAGACATAGAATATCTTTTTGGACTGAAATCACTTTTGATTTTATTTTAAATTATCTAATACTATTTGCTCAAAAGTTCACTTTATTATGGAAAAATATTACTGAAACAGCACAATAAGGACGAAAAAGTGCTAACAATAAAAAAAGAATTATTTCGCAAGAAAAAAAGTCCATTTCAGAAAAAGACGGACATTTTGTTCGAATTTTGTTACAAATTATTATCACACCTGACCGCCTTTTTTACGCGATCGCCTATTTCATTGAATTACATCATTCTTTGTTTGAATGTTCCTTTTTTTTTTTCGCTTTGAATTCTCTTCCAGGAATGCAATACGAGATTTAGAAATAGGAAAATCTTTTATTTCTTGACATCCAGACAAAACCTGATTAATTTTAAAAATCATCCATTTTTTTTCAAATGATCCTTTCAATAAATTCCTATCAACTGTAACATTCGTTCTTCTATTAATTGCAATAAAAAGAATGATTCCGAAAATTGTTTTGTTTGAAATTTTGAAAAACAATAGGCAATTGTGTAACGTTGTTTTAAAGCAAATTTTTGACTGTCAAATTAAATATTGAAATTTATTGGCACAAATTTAAACTCTCAAAAACAATGAATTTAAATTGTTATGAAGTTTGAAATTCAAATCATTAGCAGAGTAGCTAGTCAATTAATATATCGGATTAAGAAAAGAAAATTCTTCATTGAAAATTACATGCATATGAATATGTGCAATTCCTATATAAAAATTATACAGCGGATGAATTATATGAAAGCATAATTATATTTCCGGAATGGTTATCCAGATAAATGAAAATGTTTCAGGAAAATGAAGTATATTTTTAAAAAGGTTACATTTCCAAGCAAATAAAAATGTTTCGGGCAAAATAAAATAAATTTCCGGATTTTATTTCCAGACAAATGAAAATTGCCCTATTCATCTGTATTGTAAAAAGAAGCAAAAATTTCGATTCAATATGTCGATAAATTGATAAAATCAACTAAATGTTTGTTATTCACAAGCCAAAAATTATTAACATTCAAAAAAAGTGAAAATTTTCTAAAAAATTTATTTTTATCTATTCAAATTTTCAAAATGTTACTTTTCAATTTAAAAAAAAAAAGAAAAAAAATTTATTAATATCCTAGTGAATAGTAAAAATTGTAACAATAACAAATTAAGATGTAACACGTTTGAAATGAGGAATTACAGTTGCTGAATAGGAATGTTTTCCGAGCATTTAGGCATAGGTGAAATGATGAGGAACGGCAGTTGGCCTAAAAGGGAAAAATGGATGTTATGCAGGAATGAATGGGTAAGGCGTTACGGTTTCCTTTACCTCACCGCTCATCTTCCATTCTCGTAGTAATTTTGCGCTGATGACCTATAAAGCAATGGAAGTGATGGCAGTAATACACATCATTATCCAAATTCGGGTGTTATCTTATTCGAACAAATAGTCAGTCCTCTTTCCTTCCTAAAATGAAAGGGCCGATGAACTGTGTGTTTGCACAAATAGCGACCCCTTGAAGAAAATCGCATGTCGCATCACAAGACAGATATCAAAAACTACTTACTTCCCAAATCACTCGTTCATCATCCTTCATCTGTTTTCAATTATCAACAAAGCATTGTGCACAAAAAACTGTTAACCAATGGCAATATTCAAGGCAATCAAAAAAAAAAAAAAGTACTAAGCACTAATTAATTAACTGCGTAAATAGTTTCTAATGTTGCCTGATATGTTCTTTGAAACTATTTAATTTTGAATTGATAAATTTTTCAAATTTCAAATAGATTTCAAATAGACTTAATATTTCAGACATTCCTTACAAATAGAAAAATGAAAATATAATTCTGTTCAAAGGTAACTGTAATTGATTTTTCAAAAAAAAAAAAAAATCAGTAAGCTAAACGATAGAATAATTTTCTATTAACAAAAATTTCTCACTTAAATGTCATGGAGATCAAGAGCCCGTATCTTCAATTACCATTTAATCATTCTGGCATAATCCGAAAATAGATTTGTTATGTAAAAAAATAAATTGTTGAAATTTCGGCACAAATTGAAAAAAAAAAAAAACTTTGAAAAAGTGATAATAATTAGTACATCGATTTGATATACTAAATGCTAAATATGTTGGTCTATTAGTTCTTAAAAATAATTTTAATACTTATTAATTTCTCGAATTTTAACTAATATTATTACTCACTGAAAAATTCATGTAATCAAAATGTACCAGGAATTTTTACAGAAAGCCCAGGTTTAATTTTTTGAATGAATTTTGACACATTGCTAATATACATATGCATATTATCATGATAAGTTTTTAAATCATCATAATTCCATTGATTGTGCACGAATTTCTTTCATTTAACAAGTGCATAAAATTGATTGAATGAAATTTAAATTTTAACTAAATATAATGAATATTGGTCAAAAGATTATACATTCCCGCAGTGAATGATAACTTTCCCTCCCACATATCGGAATGTATAGAAGGCGAAGAGCAATAATAATGCTGCAATGATTAGTCAAGCTGGCCTTTATTTTGAATTGAACTATATGATCATCGATACTGATTGAATCCATTGTACCATTATATAATATTTTAATCATTTATTGCTTCTCTTACAATGTAGAAGAGAGCATTGAAAAAATTGAGCTCAAAGATCAATTGAATTGAAATTGAAATTATTTATAGATTGGTATGTATGAAAGATATATATTTATAGATTACTGTACTGAAATATTTGATGAATTTTGACATATTTAAAAAAATTTAGCAGCTCTTTTAAAGTGTAGAAAGACAATAATGTTCAATTAATAAAGAGCACTTTATTAAAATTCATCAAATAATTCGATATTTTAAAATGTGCTTGATGATCACTACACAACATTTTCCATCACATCATTTTGTCTAATAAATTTTTAAATTTTTTTTTGGATAACTTTATCGTTTGATTAATTTAATAAAATTTATCATTAGATAGATAACTTCAGATACATATATGTATATTGATTAAAATGTCATAACATATTGAATTCTTGACATTGTTGTCAATGTTGAATATGTTTAACTAATTCTGTCTCTCCGCTCCACCCAATACTTCTCACTGATGTCACTTTTTCACTGCCTGTCAACTTGCATAATTTTTCAAACAAAATAAAAAAGGTGTATTCGATGATTACTTGCTTACATATACATTTTTCTGCTTGTTCTATCTTTTTCGTACAATTCATGTGCTTATTTTTTTATTTTAATAGTTTTTCTTTTCTTTTCTCTCTCTCTCTCGTTCGTTTTTTTAAAATGTTATTGATAGGCTAATAACATTTAAAAAAATTAATTATTTTAATTGTATAAAAAATGTTATAGTGAAAACAATTGCATACGTATATTTTTGTATATATAAATGCTGCAAGAATTGTTTTTCTAATAAATTTGCTATAAAATAATTTTGCTATAGCAAGGCATGTAAGAAAAAATAATGTTGGATAAATTTAATTTATCATTTACCAACTTCCAAATATTAATTGAATTTATAGTCTGCTATTTGAACTTGTAAACTTTTTGAAATAATTTTTTAATTCGAATATAATCTTTTTTTTTTGAATATGATAAGTTTTATTATAGTAATTCGCTTGTATACATGTATGCTATAAATTGAATTTTACATAATTCAGAAAGTGGCAATGATATCATCGTCATCATCATCATTATCATCATCAATAATTTCTGGGATGAAAAATGAAAATTTATCTTACGATGTTGATATATTTTTAAATGAAAAAATTTACAATCCTGGTGATATAATTCATGGTGAAGTGATCTTTAGACTTAGCAGAAATTTATTTTGTGATTTAATCAATGTGCAACTTTTTGGTTCCACTCGAGTTTTTTGGATTGATAAAAAAGCAAGTTTTTTTTTTTGCCTTTTTTGGCATTGTACCAATTTTGCACTATTTGAATAGCTTATTTTGTGTTTGTCTATTTGTTTATTTTTTGAATTCCTTTTCCTTCCTATTATTTTATCCATACTATAATTTATTGATTTTTGTTTCATGCTTCCAATATTTACTACTTTCTTTTCTTTTCTTTGAACCGTTTTCTGAGATGAATTTTAAAATTAATTGCTCTTTAGATAGGTATTGGTTGTTTCCATCCGATTGCACGAGAACAAAAAAGAGTTTTGGTGGATGAAACAACAGTATTATGGTCCGATGAAAAGATAAATCGTAAAAAATTTATTCAGCCAACTGTTAG